ATACCTGATCCTTTAAAACCTAATTCTTTAAATAAATCTAATTTTTTAAAAGAACACGTTCCTTTAGAAGAGCCTGATCCTTTAGAAAAACCTGATATTTTAGAAGAACTCAATTCTTTAGAAAATTCTATTTTTTACAAAATTATACAATAGAATCACAAAACAAAAAAAATTTTAATAAGCAAAAAAAACTTGTTCAAGTTATTATTTCTTGGAGGGTAAAACAAAAAAATAATGCTTATAATATTTTTTGTTCTTTAGGATTTATTAATTTGAATTTTACTATTAATCGCGCATGTATATAGAGTAGATTATTTTATTTACACTTTCTAATAGCATGTAAAAAAAGTTTTATTATAATAAAATTTTTTTTACAAAAAATAAAAATTTCAATAATTTATTAATTTATAATGATTAATATAAAATTTATTTATTAAATAAATTTAAAATTACATTTTAAATTATATAAAATAAATTTTAAACTATATATAAATTATATAAATTATTTTACTTGAAGTTTTTTAGGTAATTTTAAAGTATTTGGTAAAATATTTTTAAAAAAATACAATATCCGATTTTCAAATTCCAAAATACTTCAAATAGGTGACTTTCGATTTGTTTCTTTACCACCATCTTTTATGTGCGCCTAAAAAATAATAATACATGATCATGATTTTTACGCTCAACTGGTAAATATGAAAAAGATTTTAATCTAAAAGGTTTATGTATAGCCATCATTTCATGTATATGATATATAAGTACATGTATATAAGATATTACATCTTTAGGCATATATAAACCAGGAATAAAACTTGAAGTATTAGGTATACCCAAAGAAGGTGTTAAAAAAAGTTAAAGCCAAATTAATGCCTTTTGTTTAAATTCTATTGGATCAGTTGTAGAATTTTGCATTAATTTATATAATTCCAAAAAAGAGTTCCATAAATTTCGAATTTGTTGTGCTCTTGATGATCGAAAAAACTAGTTAAAGTTAAAATGTTGAAGAACTTTAAGCTTATCTGGTCCCATTAAAGATGTGTATTGCCAAGTTTTTATTTCATGATTTTCATAAAAATGAAAATTAACTTCAATATGCTTCATTTTTTCTATAATAAGTTTTCGTGTATAATCATTTTATTTATTCATTTCTTTAAATTCTTGAATTACAAGTGCTCAAAGACGATCTGTAATTCGAAGCATTATATGTAATTCATTAACTACCCAATTTTTAATAAAAATCATGTCAAATAAAGGTTGTTTAATATGACCAGAATAACAAGTAAAATCCTCTTTTAAATTTCCATATCTTTTGTTATATTCCAGCATTTTGAAAGATCACCTTGATCATTTTATGTTACTGTATACCAAGAACAAAAATAATTTGAATTTACGCAATTGAATCCTAAACAAATTGCTAAAAATTTCTAATCAGAACTAAAATATAATTTAATAGTCCAAATAATTCCAGTTTGATCTTGAAATCCATATTCTTTTAAATGCTGAAGTTCTTTAAGTATTGAATCTAAAACTGTTTATAATATAGTATAATTTTTAATACCAGGATAAAAAGCTAATGTATAATGAAAATCGGGTTTCATTAAAAAATCTTTATCATTTATAATTGCACAAGTAATCATAACATATTTGACTTGTCATCCTACGTTACGTCTATCACCTAATATATGAAAATGAATAATTGGATTATTAGAATCTAAAACATCACGTTCTATTAAAATAGGAATTAAATATTTTAGTATTTTTATAATACTTCATTGTCCACTATTTCCAATTGACTCATGTACCATTTGGATTACTTCAGGATCAGTTATAGTTGATGTATTTTTAAAAGATTCAGAAAAATAATTATTATTTAATTTAATAACAGAAATTGGAATTTTTTTTGCATTTCTTTATTAATTACTGCTTTTTTTTCTGACATTTCCCATTCTCTGATAAGATTATTAGATAAAGTTATGATTGTTCGATAACTATCTCAGGATATTTGTCCTTGATCAATAGCTTTAACTGTAAAAGCACGCTTTAATTTGATTTCTTTTTTATCTACTTTACCAAAATCAATTTGATAAGAATCTTTTTGAATGCCAACAGTAAAAGTCATTGAATTTAAAGTCAATTCATCTTCAGGATTATAACAATAATTACTAAGATCTTTAAAAGCTGATCTAGTACATTCTGCAAAATGTTGGGCCCTTTCATTTCTAGTTTTTTCTGTTATATTTTCATAAGGCTTTAATTTTTTAATTCTTTTTTCGCGAGAAGTTTTTAGAACTTGGAGTTGCATACCAAATAATAATGTACCTGATATTAAAGAATTGTTATCTGGATGAAGTATCTACAAAAAATATTGGAATTTGTATTTTTTATTAATATTAAAAAATTCAAAATCAATAATCCTAATTAACTATATTGAAAAAAATATATTTATATGCTTACCTTTTGCACTTGTGTTGCTCTATTTATACATAATTGTGTTGTTTCTAATATTTGGTCAAAATTATCATTGTAGTATATTTTAAAAACTAGTTTGGAATTTTCGTAATATATGGAATATTTGACAGTATTTGATTTTCCTTTTCCCCATTTTGTTATAACTTCATAATCGTTAGACAAAGGAAAGCTTTTAGGTTTTTTGGTAAATCTTAAAAGTAACTTATTAGGATAAAAACCCTCTTTTATAACTGTATAATTAAAGGTTCGTTCTTCTTCTTTATATATTATATGCGATTCATTAGGATATGAGTGAATTTCTGTTGGCAGTTTTCGTGGTTTAGACATAATGCGTTACAAAAAATCAGAATGTTAATGGAATTGACTGTGTTACTTTATTTTAATTATTATTGGTCAGTATTGTTTGTCAATCAACTAATACACTATATCCTAGTTGTTACTAAAATTTTAGGTATGTTACCGATCTGCCAACATGACACAAGGAAAATTATATGATAAAAAGAAGATATTATTTTATTAAAAGAAAGAAAAATATTCAGATAAATTATAGTATAAAAGAAAATTTATATAAAAAAAATAAATTCCAGAAGAAAATAATTCAGATAAAATAATTATTGAAGAAAAAAGAATAATTAAAGGATCAAAACAAAAAACAAAAGGTTAAAAAATCAGATAATTATTGAACTAAATGGAAAGTTATATAAAAAAAAGACTTGAAAAATATTTGAAATAATAATTGAAGAAGTAATACAATTATGCAAAAAAATTACACTAAAAATATAATAGTTAGAAATGATGAAATGGATCACATGAAAACTTGTAGAGTTTTTATGCCTTATAGTTAATTAATAAGATATTTTGAGTAAAAATTTATTAATTTAGTAATATTGATATATTATAAATAAATAAATAATAATAAATAAAAATATATATATCTCATTTAAATTTTTTAAAGTAAAAATTTTAAATTGTTATGTTTCTTAAAAGCAACTTACATATTAGAAAAATATTCTAATTTATCTTTATTTTAATTCTTTATTAGATCTTTATCCAAAAAGATTTATAAATTTATTAAATTCTTTCTAATCTATTAATACTAATCTATCATATAAAATAAATTCTATTATATATCTACTATTTAACTAATTATTCAATATGTATTTGATAAAATTATCAATAATTTATTTTTATCTGAATTGAATAAGTATTTTTACTTTATAAAAAACATTTTCTTCAGAAGCTTTCTATTTTTTTACATTTAAGCCATTTCTCAAGTATATGTCTAGGCTTTAATTTATATATAATTTGTATCTGTTAGTAAATTTTAATTTTATATTTTAAGTTTATTAATTAATATTAATATTAAAAAATTGTTTGAAAATTACTAATATATACTTTTAATAATTGAATAGTTTTAGTGTAAAATGAATTTGACTAAGAAAGCGAATGATAAACAATAATCAATAATTTAAAAATTTTACAAAAGGATTTTTAAGAAAATTCATTTATCAGATGATAATTTACATAGTATTCTGCACTATTTATACATATTTAACATATGATTTAAAGCTTGATTTAATATCAAGTTACTCTCAACTAATATCATATAAAATAAATTAATTTAAAAATTTAATTTAAAGTTTTTATAGAATGAATCACTTATAAATTTTCAGTAATTAATACAATTAAAACATAAAGGTTATCTTAATAATAGGAAATAATAATATTAATAACTATTCAAATTCTAATACATATCATCAAAAATATAAGATATTTAGTGGTAATTAAAAGTAATACATCGTCAAAATATAAAAATGTAAATGGTAATTATTTGTAAACAATAATCATAGCGATACAAATTCTATTTTAATAAATTTGTTATATCTTATTTATCAATTACATCTATTATTTTCATTTGACTAATAAAATCTACTTGCTATAAAAATTTCTAAAATACATGATCCTTTTCTTTTGATTATTTTATAAATTTTATTTATCAAAATAAATAATTTTTTTTATACTTTAAAACAATTATAAAAATATATAAAAAGATACCTCATAATATATCCTTTTCTTTTTTTAATTTCATAAATATTATATTAAATCTTTTTTAAGGTTTAATACTTTTTTGTGTTTAAAATATCAAGAAAAGTGACTCACATCCTAGTCATTTAAGAATAGATGAAAGGATAATAATATTTTAGATAACAATCGTCAAAATCTTTCTGAAAAGATTAAACATGATGTATTTTAATATGAAAAAATTTTATAATAAAATAATAAGCTGATTTTAAAAAAAACGAAGTAAAAAATTGCATCGAAATGATAATTATCAGGTTGTCAAAATATTGCAGTTTTAGGATAAACAGCTAGCAGATTTACAAAATATCACTGCATGATAAATATATTATAATAAAATAGCATTAAATAGTATTAAATTTTAATTTACCATATTGCATGCATACTGCTTTCTCGCTGTGATTTCAATATTTAACTTGTAATTTCATTCTGTATCACAAAAGCATTAGCGTTCATGATATACTGACCTCTGAAGCCATCAAGAAGATTCTTGATCCATATATCGGTGAACCACCAGAACTACTTCGTGAATCAATTTTGAAATTTAATGCAACTTTCCCATGTTCATCATAAATTTTTTGACAGTTCACAAACTTTAAGGAAGTCGAAATGTTGGGAACGTTAACAATATCTGGAGCTAAATGTTTCCCACAGTTGTAGGAACAGCCTGAAAAAGAAAAACCACATTTGTATAACAATTCAGAAATTTACTCTAAGATTATAAAGTCTGAAGTTATGGATGAGAATGTCTTGATATTTCAGAGGCAGAGTTTGTATTGAATCCTGAATCAGCTTTTGGAAAATTTTTGTTATTCGAATCAGCTGAAGTAGATTTCAAGTTGAATTACAAATTTAAAAAATCGATATATCAATTATTTATACATTTAGAAAATATCGCCATCATCAATTCTCACATTCAATTTCAAAAAATTAAAGCTTCATAAAATATTCAATTGGATGAAGTTTATTAAAATTTTCTTACAAGGATATATTTTAAATAATTGTTTAATATGAATCAATTATTGTAATATTTATTTTAGTATAATCAATAGAATAATTAACATAAATAGTTTATCTGATGATATAAACTTTAATAAAAAAATATCTAAAATTATCGCACGGCTGTTTGACCAATATTTTTTTATATATATACAATATTTAGCATCAATAGCTGACAACGTTCCGCCCGCTCAAAACTTGATCCCTTTCATTACACTTGTGCTCCGGACTTAACCGAACCGTTCGTTCTAAACATACGTCAAAGTTTTTAATGCACTTTATAACTGTAATTTGATTAATTTTTTTTTTCCTATTAGCAAAACCATGAAACAAATCACTTTCATAAATTTGGAAAAAAGAAAATCTATTTTTATTTATTTTCCATTTTTGTCTATAAATAGTATAGTAGTATAGACCTGAAAATAATTTCTTTAAGATCGTATTTTAACGAAATAAATGCTAATTAAGGGAGGAGGGTAATTTTTCGATTTATACTTAGGAATTTTTGATTTTTAATATAATCTAATTATTATTAAATTAAATTACCGAATTTTCTTTATTACTCAAGAAATCCTTCCTACCTTACACAATACAACGATCGTTTCACCAAAGTTGAGAAAAAATGTATTTAAGATTCTGGGTTCTCAAAATATAATAAGGTTTTGAAATATTGTAGCTCGCAATTGAATATATATTTCGAGCCATTCGAAGCAAACTTCTTGCCATATTTTTTGAATGGGTTCAATAATTACACCTATATATAATCTAATGCAGTTCGTTAACTTTAAGCATTAAGTATTACATTATTGAAAATCTTGCTAATAGAATGTCCAAAACATTTGTAAAACAAATTAATACATAACAAAATTTCCAAACAACCAATACAACTTTGTTTAAGTGAAATTATGTATCCCAAGAATTTTAAATTTTTCATGATTTTATTTGAAAGCTTGATATGAAAGTAACTTACGAAGCCCTTTTATTGGATTGCCTTTCCTATCCAATACAGTTTTTGGGCCAAAAAAAAAACACTACAATTTTTGGACTGTGCAAGGTGCCAAAACATCAAATAACCCTAGTACCTGAACGTTCAAATTTTTAGCATATTTTACCTACAACCTGAATTAGGAAAATCAACTGCACTAGTCAATAAAGTTTTTTGTATGATTATTTTCTAGCATAAATTTATTATCATAGATAGTAGCTTTGTCTGCTCTGCAAGTTTACTTTTAACGCCAAGAAAGATTATTTGCAATTTTTGTAAAAAATTAATTTACCACTTTTGGCAATATTAAATTTTCCATATGTTGATAAAATATAAAACATACAAAATCTGTATGTTTTAATTTTTCAATACAATTTCAGCACAATCTTTATATAATTCAAATTTCAAAATTTTTTTCTTTACGATTTCTCTGTTAAAATTTCTGTACGATTATTTTTGTATGGAAAAAATTGAAATAACTACACAACAACTGTACAATCCTGTTCAACATTTTTTCATAAGGCTTATAGTTTATGTTGATATTATATTATAATATTTTAATAATCAAAGTTTTGTTTATCGAAATCTTACAGATAGTACATTAACGTTAATTATCGTAAAAAAGCTTATCGAATCCTAATTCTTTTTCTTAATTTCTATTATTTTTTAACATTATCTCAAACCATTATTTCATGGGAAATAATATCATTTATAAAAAAAAAAATCCTTATTATATTATTAATTCTAAATCTCTAGAAAATAATATTAACGCAGACTGTTATGATTGGATTGTTTTAAGTAAAGCTATCTCTTCTTTTCTAATTAATTAATTACTACATATATCAATACTAATTATAACTAAGTAATTAATGATTTTTAGTGTATTATTTTATAGTGAATTTAAGAAAGGCCAATTATTATAGAAAATAATATAAAAAAATATTTGTTTTTTCTTTAACTAATGTTGAACGCAAATAAGCTACTAATATTCAATATACGATGATTACCGCATGTAAAAAACATAGTCTAGTTCTATGGAAATCAATCAAATTAGTAATGTAGTACAAAGACCAATAAACTTCTATTTTACGCTAGGAACTTTCGATTAACTTTCTGATGAAGATCAAATTGATGGAATTCTTTTTTTGGAAATTTCCTTTTAGAATGTTAAGTCATTTTAAGAACAAAAAGTATATATAAGTAGAATTCTTAGACGAATTTGCAAAAATAATCGTGAATCATGAATCAAAATCAATTAATAAATTTTAAACATAAAATTGACAATTTAATTTCATATGACACATCAAGTCAGCAAATGCAAACCGAACTTGAATTAACTAAATATAAATTTGAGAAATGCATTAAATGCATTGGATGTAAAAAAAGAAGAAAACCCTCTGAAGAAAATCATAAGCTTTGCCGTACTTGTTATAAAACAAATACAATAACCATTAATCCAAGTGGAAACAAAATTATTGA